GTGGCCTGTTCCCACGCCGCTGCCGGCGCGGCTTTAGGGACTGTTTTACACCGCACAGCGCGTCTGGGTTCGAGTGAGTCACGGTACCCCTCTGTGCCTCGAAACTGGGGCGTGCGACAGTTTTCAAGTAGTTGTTAATTAGCTCCTTAGCCAGCAGCTTTCACCAGTCACAGCTGTGATGGATTCGTGTACGAATTACGTAAAGGCTGATTCCTTTTAGTCCAAACGTCGCATACATCTGAAGCAATCGGGTAGTTCAGTTTAATGCCTGTAATCAGTGAGATTCGAAACCAGAACCATGATAACACCAAATACTCTAACCAACAGCGGTCTGCTTCGTCAAGCATTGCCTGACATAGCGACGGAGAACAACTTTTCCCTTTGGTTGAATCGTTGCTTGCCTTTTACCTTTCAAAAACTCTGTGACTCTGCAGCTGTAGAGAATGCGTAGGCAAAAAAAAACACTAAGAAAGAGCTGAATAGGAATATACTTTTTGATCATTCATTGCATCACAAATTCACCGAAAATCGCCAGTGGTAGCTTATTTTATAGCCTCATGCTTCATTCTTAGCCTCACTCCTATCCTCTAAATGGTGTCAGGGATTTTGCTCTTTGGAAGAGCTCAAACTCATGGTCATATTCTTGGCATATAACCGAAGTCGCACAGGTGGTCATTCGTCCAGACCCGGTGTGGTGGGCGAGCATCAGCGCACCGGCTTGCGTCTGATCACATATCATCAAGAGCCGACGGTTCCGAGCTCCCTCTGCTAGCTTTGATCATGGATGGCTTCCTCTACGCCAGTACCCCATGGCAAGTGATCAGTCAGTAAACGACCGCGCCGTAAAAGCTTAGCAGTCGAGACACGATCACACGGCAGCTGCACATGTCGCACGCCAACTCAGCTGTAACACGAGTGTGAACGCTACACCGGCAACCGGAGATCGATTCCGCCGTGTGCTTCGAGTCACGGTTCCAGAGCTCCGGTCATGAACGATGCGGCCGGCGTCACCCGTTGGGCGGTGACCAGCCTGCCATCTGTCGGTCGCCCGGGGCACTGCGGCGACCGCGGCGCCGCCTGTTGGCCGCCGGCGCCGGCTGTTCGCAGCGGCCTCGGCAGGGCGGGTGCGGGACAGTACAGAGCGAGCTGGAGCTGGAGCCGGAGGACAGTGGTCTGTGCGGAGCGAGGTGCTGCTCGGGCGAGGGGGAGACGGGCAAGGTAAACTACTCCGGACTCGTCTGCTGCGGGTTTGTCGAGCGGTAGTCGAGGTAAATGATAGGAGATCCACCACAGAGTTAAAAAGTATATCGATTGTATATGGTGTTCCTGTCCATGCTACTCCTGTAGATGTTCCGTTGTATTTTATGATTTTTTCCTTTGCATTTGGTTTTTTAGAGGATGGGGGGGGGGGGGGGCCTGTTCCCGTCCGCCTGTTGGTGGTGCCCTAATAAATATCTCTGAAGATCCGTTCCTTGCACCGAATCCGTCACACCTCGAACAACTGGCAGCCATTCACAGCTTCGCTACGGCTGTTTTTTTTCTCGTGAGCCGGTTTTGCATTTGACACTCATCAGGCATGTTTGTTAGAAATATACAGACCCAGTCTTGCTAAAGTGATCCATTTTTACCTCTGCAGAACCATTTAAGTATTGCATCTGGTTGCGTGTCTGCTTTGATCTCTTTTCATTCTATGGATGCAGCCTACTTGCATTCTGTATTAAGCAGCCGGGCGCCCACACGTCCCCTAGCAACTGTCTTCACTGTAATCCTAAGCTGTCTAAGCACCAGGTCCTTTACCGTCCCAAGGGACATGAAGTAAAGAATACGATACATAAACAGGGCTGGAGGGCGTGAGTGAGCGAAGTTGAACAAACTGAAATTACCATGCAGGTCTTGTCATCCAGCGGGCTTAGACAGCGCTGATCTCACCTGACCACTGTAAATGAGGCAGGGTTTCACCACATATCACCCTGTCCTGTGAGGCGGCACGTCTGTGGTTACCACGTGCACTGGATTGTTACGAACTGCTGTTGGACCTTCCCGATGTTTTCCGGTGTTTAACGTGAACCACTTTTTTGTATCAACCGACTGCCTTCAAGTCATCCCCCAGCCATGTCAACGCTCTTTTAAGCGTGTGAAAGGATTTTCCTTCTTTGAAGCCCCAACTCTGAGTGCTGCAGGCGCTGTCGCATGCAGCGACTACTGTTCGACATGACAGCTGATGCTTCTAGAGTTGCTCACCAAGTTGCATAATGTACGGGTGAACAATTCAACGAGTGCATTCTCCGTGCATGGGTGGAGTGGTGTCCAGTGTTCTCTGCACTTACCGGAACAACAACACGAACAATAAGAACGTGGGAGAGGACAGAGGCGCACAAGCACGAGCAGATGACGCTCGGCTCCCACCCAGTTTCCATGTTTAGGCAATTAGGTGGCCGTTCGCGGCGGAAGCGTGGGAGCCTTTTATCGCGGCCGCACTACTCCATTGGCCACAGCTGAGCTGTGTCTGCCGTCATCAGTCACCGTCATGCTTGGAAGGCGATTACAATTCCAGCCTCTTTTCTCTGGTGTGCGACCATGGTTCCAATCTTCCCGGGATTTGTGCTCGCCAATGTTTATTTCCAGGACATATTCAAATGTGCAGGCTTCCATATATTGAACTGGGATAAGACGAGCAGCATTTTTGGGGCTCTAAGAACAAAAAACCTCTATTTTGACGTTCAGATTTAAGAGGTTGTTTGTTTTGTTATTCTCTGCACACGATGAATGGCGCAAAAGCCGCAGATGAAAGTAGACGCAGCAGCATTTGGGCTCTATAAAGGAAATGGACTTTGATTTGATCAAGAACTTTGTCCAGTGACTTAAACCACCCTGCTGATCTTTGGAAAGATGCTACCGTGCAGTTTTCCCGGGCCATCTTGTTTGGAAACAAAATGTATTATTGTTCATTTAAAAACAGCAACTTTAATGTGGACCGTGTAGCTATTTCGCACAAAAGCTTGGAATGATTAGATATCCAAACATATAGATAAAGGTGGTGAAACTTAATTACGGTGCAACTGGAACGCATGCCATTTGAATGCAGATAACGGAGTTGCGTGGTTAGCAAAAGCGAAAGTCTGGAGGAAATGATTTCTTCTCTGGTGGCGCCATTTCTACAGATATATTTCGCAGGTGGGCAGACTCACGTGGTACGCACGTTCTGTATTGCACAACAGTCTTATCAGGCTGGATACATTGCGTTAGACTTTGGCGGAAACAAGGACATAAGTTAGCCAAGCTCGTAATTCATGCATTAGAGAATCTAAAACTGCTGATGCCGGTGAAAAACTTTCGCCCATTTTACAACATTTCAAATCTGTCGCGTACAATACAGCAGTATGTCCCTTTCATGACAGACACAAGAAGGTAGCCATGCGAATTAAGTTAGTGAGTCTTTCGCAGTCTATAAAGTGGGTCCATAATGCTATACTCCCCCTGTTCTAGCTGCCACACCAACCTCCCTTAAAACGGACATATGTTGGTACTTGGTAAGTTGAAATTTGCTTCTCTCGTCTACTTAACAAATAAACCTCTCTCAGACTTTGTCACATACGCCTCTAAGTGCAGACCATTGAGAAATGACGTCTGCAAGGAGGTGCTCTATAGGCAATGCAGTTTGCAGGACGTTTCGTAGCTTTGTGTTTAAATTTTGGATATTGCACAACCCAACCTGGCTTTACTTTAAATGAGAGTCAACAGAAAAAGCCGTGTAACTAAAGGAGTCATGGAAAACATGGCGACAATGCTTTGAAAACACATGTTAATCCTGGAAGAGTTTTTCATCGGAAGAGCTCTAGGATTCCTAAAAATTCAGTGATGAAGTATCTTAGGCTACCTTGATGTTACCTCAACCACTATCTATTACGTTTAACCATTTTAGATAAATCTTAGAATCGAGTGCACACCACCCAGGAAGATTTAGGTCTTCTTTAACTACTCTTTTTAATAAATCTAGGCCCAAAATTTGTGTTGGATAGTTTCCTTGCCCGCAGTTCATGCTAAGCAGGGCTTGTTGATTGAGCGCTGACCCCACCATACGGTTAAGAAATTTCAGTTGAACGGCAGAGTTTTGTGTCGGACGTTTGGCGTGCCACAATGCTGGACACGGACCGCCCGTCCGCTGACCTTACCTGAACTTGAGAGGCCGCTGCCACCGGCCACAGACCGTCCCTGCTTAGCGCAAATAACGAGCACCAAAGCGTCTCAAACCCACTCACTCCGCCGCGTGTATGCTGAATGGCGGGCGCTGGAGCCGATTGAGCTCCGGGGGCGGACAAGGGAAATGCTGACTGAAGGCTCAGGTTTCGAGCCTTATTCCAGGATCGGCACAAACGTCTCGTTGCGGACAGCAGCTATGTCTAGCAGGACAGAAAGCGTCCCAATGGCCGCGCGGTGCTGGCCGCGGACTGGCGCGAGCCTCCCCCGGGAGCTGAGCGGCGGGCGCGGGCTCGGGCTCGGCGCGGGCTGCTCGCCCGTCCGGCGTGGTTCGGTTTCGCTCCGCTGGGCGGCGCGCGCAGCGGGGCCGATCACGGCACGCCCGGCAGCTCCCCGGTCCAGACGGCAGGCCGGCTACCATTGTGGCGGCGCTTTGGGAGCAGGGAACCCCGACCGGAACCCCAGCCGTGACCGGTACCGGTGGCCGGCGCATGGAGCCGTCTTGTGGCCAACAGTTTACGCGTGTGGGCGGAAAGCTGGCAGCGGCGGACGCGCTTTGAATTTAAACAGCGTACCGGACGCATGACGAGCAGTGGTACAAATGAATGTCAGATACAGACGGGACAAAATTCCAAACTTTAGCGCTAAGGCCCAGATGGGTGTTGCGCTTTTTGCGCATATGACGCACCAGCGGTGAACGGTCGCGTGTTTTCCAGCGCTGTGCACCTTTTCGCAGGTGTGAGCCACTCACAGCCTGCGACTGTGGACGGGGTCTGTAGCCTGACCCGTTCGTCTTGTTTCAGCGTACAGCGACAACCCGGACCGGGACAGTTTGGATGGCAACCTGCCGTCTAGCAGCCATGGCACCAACCCGCCGCCGGCGCCACCTCTCGGACCCCTAGCCGTCCCCTCCAGCTTCACCAAGGGACCCAACGCCAAGAAGAAGCACAAAAAGCTCAAGCCCGACGACGACAAGGACAAGGACAAGGACAAGAAAATGAAGCGCAAGGACACGGAGAGCGGCGACGCCGCGCCCTGGGACCAGACGGAGCCCTGGTAAGTGTGCGGCTGCGGTGAAAGGACCATTCGCGTTGCTCTGGTGAGCCAGTGGAAGATGTTCACCTAGTTTGAATGGTCACGTAAACATGCTGCAAAGAGATTCTGCCACAAAAGCTCGAACATTTTCCCGAACGAACTATGTAAAAAACTATTACTGGCACTTGTGTGCAAATTTTTGGGTGGTTAGCCGCCTTTTAAAGCTTTCACTACGTCTGACCAAAGAGGCAGTAGAGTGTCGAAAACTTGCAGCGCCAGTGCCCGGGTGCACCAACGGCCCAGAGGGTCCTGCATGCCGCCCACAGCATTAGCGAGGTAAGGGCCGGAACAGTGCACGTAATTGCACCACGTTGGGGTCGTAATATAGTTCATTCACCTAAAGTGGGCGAGCGTGACACGGCTGGCGGCGCGAGCACACTGCCGTAACCGACGTGTCAGCATGTGCAAAGAACAGTGGATTGCTGCCTTCAAAATATCGTTCCCGTGAAGTTCCCGATTACCGTACGTCGCCAAAGCTTCAAAGTAAGGGGGTAACACATTTGATTGATCGTATCGACGCATTGCTATTTATTGAAACAACAGCTGTATCACGCTGATTATTTAACGGCTTTGACTGAACTTAGCTGAACGCTTTTATAACTGCATGGGATTCTTTGAAAACCAGAGGATATCATCAAAAACCATCACTCTAGAACGTTTGAGATTTAGTTTGACCGTGCGATCATCATTCAGTGATATTTTTATGGTCTCTCTTGATGACTGCCAAAGAAGCAAACCAACAAAAACTGGCCGAAAGAAGAAAACTACTCACATGCTACAATATTCACAGCGCCGTTTTACTCGTTATTGCTGTGGCTCAGTCTGCGGAAAATTATCTTACGATTCATGGTGAGTTCAAAAACCAAGATATTACTGCAACACGACACACGGAACCCAAGGTTTGTTTTTTAATGAGGGCAGGAGACGGCAAGCGACAAAGGCTCCCTGATTCCAGAAGCGACCTGCACGCGGGACACAGAGAGACTGTGCATGAACAAATTTTGCCTTTTGCCCCGAAGATCTTAGATTACTTCCGGGCTGGATGAATTGCTTTTTAGATAAGGCAGTAGTAATAGCCTTATCCCTCGGAGAAAGACCAGGAGAATGGAGATATTTAACCCGACTATATCTCCATTCTCCTGGTTTTTCTCCATTTTGCGCTGAACATTTTTCACTTATCTAAGTGAATATTGTTCCTCGCTAATGCACTGAACACCTTACGTAATTACTTTTTGATGAAGGGCAAGGAAGGAGCTACGGTAAACTGGCTTTGGTTATCCGGCGCAAAGCAAGGGACAGGAGGGGCTACGCTACGTGAAGCCGGCCAATGTTGTTCGGCATCAGCACAAGACAAACACATTCGGAGTCACGTTAATCCGGACAATTTCGTCCGGTAGCAACTGCAAAGTAAAACCCGAGACACACGTATGGTATTCAGCATGCGCAGTTCATGTGGACGACGGGACCACAGCGCGTCATCGCAGCAGTGGCTCCCCGCGCGGCAAATGGCTGGGTCCCGGCTCCGTGGTGGGATCCACCAGCGACTGGAGCCGGACCGCTCCCTGTAGCAAGCGGGGGTCCAGCGCGACCTTGTCGTGCTGCGTGATGTAATCCGGTAAAGTCCTCACTAGAAAAACCCGGAGTCCTAAACCCGTGGGCGAAACCGGAACGTTCTTCGTCATCGCCACTCAGGCGGGCCACCCGCGGTGCCAACACGGCGCGTTGACTGGGTCAGCAACCGTGTCCTCTCTCCCTCCCAAAGACGCGTGCACGATAACCGGCGACCTGGAAACGGCGGCGACGCGATCCGATGGATATCTGGAGCGATGAGAAACACATCTAGGCTCGCTCACTCTCCCCAGCCGCGAGCACCACCGTGAACGTTGCTCCCTGCCTTCGCGCTCCCTGCCTTGAAATATTTCTGGCCGGTGCTAAGAGCCTCGGTCACGGCAGACGGAGCAAGTGAGCACGATTTGGTGCAGAGGGTGTGACTTGTGATCATTCATAAGCCAGCGGTCGTCGGGCTCTGGCGGACCAACTAGCGCATGCAACTGCACCTCTGGAACGGCCCAAATCGCCGCTCGTTATGATAGTGGGAACATTGTAGATAAGACAAGATTCGCACGTAAAGCTGGGGCCTTTGAACAGTGTTGTATTGACAAAAAACTTACGGAGGCGAGGCAACGGAATGAACAGCTACCGCTGGAGACAAGCATGGGGAACACGCGCTGCAAGTGTTACTAAATACAAAATTGTAATAACACATTCATGTCTATATTTCTTGGCCCGATGTGTGTAATAGCTTTCAGTGATTCTTCTGCAATGTGAGGCACAAAACGACGTAGAATGGGATACAACACCTGACTAACGACAACGACTGATGAGACTGGGACCGTTATAGATAGCCGGTATGTGAAACAAACACAAAACGCTCTAAACAGATAAACACTCGGCGATTCTGCGTATTCGTTTCAATTAAATTACTGTCAATAGCGTCACGCTTTTGCTGCGTCTTTGCATCACTTTCAAGTGCGCTCTATTTGTCGGTATTTGCTGCAATGGCGTTGCGTTTGGTTGCACTATGTATCGTAATGTTCCAAAGAAGTCATTAGTTGAAAGCTTGAGCAGCATCCCGTGTCATTTCGAAAAGCGTCTTACTGTCGAAAAGAGTGTAGATAAGTTTTAGGAGCTCATGCTGCTGATTCCCTTTCGTAAAGCTCCAAAACAACGCCTCCCTTCGGTGCCTTCAACCTAGCTGTGTTGCCGGCGATCGTCTCGCACTGGGCCAAAGAAAGACGATTCTTCGAATATCTGATGAATTGACAATTACGACATAGCTGAGTCTGCTGGATCTCTTAGCATTATTATAGATTTGTCTTGGTCCTATCGTATCATAGTCGTGCTATATCACAGGCAGCAAAAAGCCCTCGGCCCTAATCCCTGTATGACAGGCGCCCAATTTATCTTATATTCATCACAGCTCAGCAAGGATAGCCATCATTTCATGCCTTTTAAATTAGACAGCACTTCGTCGAACGTAGCACTCCTGGGCACTTACTATGGCGCTCGGCAAGTGATCACATCACTGAGCTGCACTGCACTGAGCTGCACTGAGCTGCTCGGATCCCAGTGCGACATGACGACGAAGTTGGCAGTGATAATCTAGCAAGGATCAGCAAAATGCTAGGTAAAAATGGATGGAAAACGTGGCTAAGAAACATCTGGACTTATCAGTTGTGAGCTCAGATGTCTGAGATCACCACGTGTTCAGTTTGCCCCGAACGTTTCCAACGAGCCGTGGTCATAGGCCGCTTGCGATGAAAAAGTAAAAACACCCGGCGTGGAGGGTACGCCCTCATTGGCGGTCTCATTGCATACTATACTAACTTTGAAGGTATGCCAGGCGTATGTGTATATCTAAGAAATCGGGCTCAACTGTTGCACCCCTGCACCCCTGTCTTGACCGGGCTGAGTCAACTAGACCGAAACGCATAGCTGAGGGGCAAGACCATGGGCAACGAGAGCGGTGCTCCAATGAGCCATAACGTCTGATCAGGTCGATCAGATCGCTTCCGCCCTGTTGCTGCCGAGCCCGCCCTGGCTTGGCGGCTGGGGCAGCCCGTCACGCTCCGCTGGCGCCGGTGCGAGTAGGGAGACGGCCGGCGGGGGGTGTCGTGTGCTGACCCGGTTGCGCGCGTAGCCAGCGGAGCGGACCGGTTAGCCCACTAAGCAGCGGGGGCCACGGCCGCGGCGCGCCCCTACTCACTCTCTCAGAGGAGAGCGTGGCGGCTGCGGTGTGATCCGGAGTGTCAGACGGCGAGGGAGAGCAGTCGCTCTGGCGTGATCCGGGGTGTCAAGCGGTGGAGGAGAGCAGTCGCTCTGGCGTGATCCGGGGTGTCAAGCAGTGGAGAAGAGCGGTCGCTCTGGTGTGATCCAGAGTGTCAGGGGAGTGAAGTGACGCGGCTCTGGTGTGATCCGGGAGTGTCTGCGTGGTGATCCCGGCCGGTAGGCAGGCGCCAGTAGGGAGAGGCGGGATCTGTGGAGTGGTAGCACCGGAGTTCAGGGCGATAGGTCTTCCGTGTTGAGAGCGAAAATTCGTTATCAAACGAACGGGAGCAGCGAAAAACGCATGCACTGGGTGAGGCTCGTCTGGAGGTGGTGTAAACCCCACCAAGAAGGACTTGGAGAAAGCTCGACCAAAGATCGCGGGACCTGACAGACCCGAGTGGAGTCTGAACTGCTAGCACCTGTGTTGTCCTAAAATGTGAGTATAAATGTGTGGTTTGTCTTTCGTTCAAGCGATTTTATTAAGACAGCCACATCCGCCGACACAACTTCCGCTGATCACAATTTTTGTTCCAGTAGGGAGGAAACTCGAAACCCTCAACATTCTTAGCGTATCGTGCTGTATCTTATTCCGTGTGGTAATTCTCTTTGAAGAATACGCACGATTAAGCCCATTCTTAAAAAGCAATCTCCATTGGTTTCTCGCGCGGTGACGAAATTTGATCAGCTGTCTATCACTACGGCACCCCAACACTCCAACATGGATGGGTTTTGCTTTTTTTTTGGTTTTTGTGGGGTATTGTTATGTTTTGCCCACTTACCATCTCACGACATGGACGTGACGTCCAATAAACTGTCAGCTCGAAATGATGCCGATGATTTAGAAGAGTGTTCACAAACCGCCCAAACGAAGCCCACACCATGCCACGAAGACGTCATGCAGTTGCGTTACCCGCCACGTCCAGAAAAAAGCACTTCATGCCCGCCCCGGGCTCCATAAGCAACGGCGCCTCGGCCACTGCCTTCAGTCTTCGATTGGCTCATGAATTCTAAGCCTGCGGGCCCGTGAATCCGTTCGCCAGCCGGCGCCCACACCTGGAGGCCGCCACCGCCGCCGAGGCTGCCGCCGCTCAACATTCCACGGCAGCTGTCCGCACCATCTGTCGGCGCTCGGGGTCTCTGGCCGACCCGCGCGCCGTGTCATTACCACGCTGACCAGTGCCATCCGCACACCTGCGCGCCGAGCGATTCGCTACCGCCTCCGTTACAACTGGCATCAAAAAACGTGGCAACGGAAAAACGCCGGGCCCCCGCCGCCAGCCGCCACGCGCACGGCTGCTCTTCGGCGTCCGGGCTGCTCCAGCGGCCCCCGCGACCGCGGCGGTAACGGTGCGGCGGCCGGCCGGCCGTGACCAGCCTGCGTACGCGGCTCTGCAACGGCTGATACTGGGCACGGTTAGGCCGCCGGAGCGAGAGTCGATTGGCTGCTGCTGAGCACCGTTCAGGACCCAAGTGCACTAGGTCCTGTAGCAGTAATTGAACCGTGTCTGAGGCTGTTTACAGAATGTCATGCAATTCAGGGGGAAGGAGTCTAGCTTCCCGAGGTACATTGTCCTCAAAGCATGATGTTAGTGGTATGTTCAGTTGTGCGTTATTGCTTATGTTAAGTATTATTGTGGCATGTTTTTGTCGGTTTTCAGACAAATATAAATGAGCCCAAGACAAACATTAGCTGGGAGATGGTTCACTCTAAAACGCTAAGCAGAAAGCTCCGTCCAGGTTTGGGACTGCTGGGCTCGATCGGGGTCGTGCTGGGGCCTGCTCTGGGGCGACAGAACCACAGCCGGACTGCATCCAAGGCTGCGCCACCTCATGTCACTGTCCTTGGCGGAGAGCAGGTCCTCGGCTACGACCAGACGGGTCAGGCCAGGCTGCGCGACTACAGCTGGGCTTCACCGCAGACCACGATGGCTCAGCGGGGCGAAACCCAGACTGCCGGACCGCGGCAGACTGTGACGCAGACTGCAGCGCCGCAGCTCCGCTGTGCTCGGCCCGCAGGACCGCAGCGATCACAGTCCGCTGCGGAATGACTGGCTGCCACCGCCTGACAACGGAGCGTGTAGCGGCGATTTTAGAGCTGGAGTGGGCTTTGTGGAGCATGGACGCGGACGTCACGTCGCGCTGGGCAGCGGTCGTTGGCGCCCGCCGACAATGCCTCGGTTTTGCGAAGAGTAACAGTTCACGTCGTAATCCGAGTGCGTACGGTCCGAACAATACCGACGAGGTGGCATTGTCCGCCTGCGTACGAGTAGCAGCGTCTGGAGCGTAGCCATCTGCTCCAGCTACCCACCGGCAGTACCGCACTATTACTCTAGTAAAAACTGCTCGGAGCCGGGATAATGTCATTAAATCGACCTCTGACGACTTCAGTCATCTCTCAGTGATCAGCATCCGTGGATGGGTGGCTGAAAACTCTTAAGCCCGAGCCACTGTGAACTCAGGAACCGTTCATGAGGATGCGTGCCAGCGGAATATGACGTTGAAGCCGTATGACTCCCGCAAAATAGCACAGTCACCAAAACCAGCTGAATCGATGGACGAGAACGCTGGCAGCGCATCTACTACCGTACACAATTTACTAGTTGAGCGCGTCAAAAGGTTCTTGAGGGCATTTGTTAAATGTCACATGCTTCACTGGAATTGATCTCACATCACGTCAGAGCAGAGATTCGCCGTAACCTTTGCCTTTTGTCTGACACGCCTGCGCTTCCGTTTCAGCACACATATGTGGGTGGTGCTCTCCTCCATGTACGGCAAGCTGGTGGTGCTGCTGACCATCGCCTTCTGCCTCACTGAGGTTATGGACAACTCGATCCTGCCACTCACATTCCAGGTCAGAGAAGCCGCGGTATCCCCAGTACGCGCCTCCGTCTCAGTGACGTCGGTGAACAAGCTACTGCACTGCGCCAGTCTTGCATTTACCGGAGTGTAGGATGCATTTTTTAAAAGTTCCGTTGTAAGGACTGCAGCCCGTCCCTAACTTGAGCTCCAGCCACCCAACTTTGAGAAAAATGTGGGTTACATCCTTGGAGAAACCGGTTTGTCAGCGCATTTTGAAGGAAGGTGACTTCATTTTTCCATCGCTTGCCCCCCCCCCCCAATCATTTTGCAAAACTACGTCCATGCCGGAGTGACATTGGGTCCAGATTCACTTCAATGGCGAAGGCTGTTGCTCAGACACTGTTTCCGCAACCAGGTGTCCCAAATGACTTGGTGTACAGATGCAAGCCATCTTTCTGGCTTTCAGAGAGCTCGGTGCTATTTCCGCCCGCAGTCACTGATCTCTGTCCTCACAAGTCTGCTTTGTATATCTACCGTAACGAATGCAGAGAAAGCGTCGCGTCATGAAATAGACCACCACGCTTCTCACATGTGAAGCTGTGGCGGGCGCGACGCAGCAGATCGACGGCACACACCCGCTGAAACTCGTCTGACCGAGATAATCAACACTTTCACCGCTGACTTTGAGGCCGCTGCATATTAATGTCGAAGTTCAGTTGTAGCGGTCGCAACGTGGGTAAATTAAGGTCAAGTATCAAAAGCTGGTGTGAGTGTCTCGTGTGACACCATTATCTGGTGAACAGCATTGCGCGAACGGACGGGAAACGAACGTCTCCTTTCATGGCAATCTCAGCGCACCACACCAAACAACCCAAACGCCAGCACGAGCAACTACTGACACTGCCGTCTCGCAGGGCGTCTTCATGATGTACCTGTACGTGGGAAGCATCATCGCCATCCTGTGCATCTACATCACGGTGGTGGCCGACAACATCCCGAGCGTGACGTCCTCCAAGCAGAACCTGACCTCTGCTGACGCCGACATCACCAGCCTGGCCAGCTTCGGCACGCTGAAGCGGGCGCACATCTCGCGCTCCAAGACCACGCGCACCAGCTTCTACTTGCGCGTCGGCGCGCTCCGTGAGTGACTGGCTGGTGGCTGGTGGCGGACGGCACGCAGCTTCCGGATGTTGAATGGTGGGGAGTCGTGCTTAAGCCATTACACATACCTCCACGTGTTGAGCGAGGCCTTCTGTTTAGACCGTGCGTGTCACGTGCCCGCACAAGGAGGTTCGAGTGCGTTTGTTTCACTGATATTTTAGCTTCAAGGAAGTATTGCAAATTTATTTCCTTCAGGGTGGTATTGAATCTATCCACTGACAATGGTGGTTATCGACTAGGTGCATTCACCGCATTGCGTTGAGTAACGCAAGACCGGGACCGTAGTGTTGGGTCCTGGCACGCCCGCATTTGCGGGCTATATTCTCAAAGGCGGTGGAGAGAGTGAGCGGAATGGAGAGAGGTGAGGAGGTGAGTGACGGTGCTCGGCAGTCAGCCTGGAGGTCTTCACGCTTATCTACATCTTCAACGCGTGGGTGGCGAACGGCAGCCGTGGACCGAAGATAGGTTGAAGCGAAGCGGCAGCGTGATGTTATACGATACTCGTTCGGCATCGCCGGCCGTCAAAAGTGATCATTTAGAGTCACGGGTACGATAGTTATGGACTCACTTATCCAGCGCATGGCATTCCACGCGGTTTCGTACAATTGATGCCTGGTATCTGGTAATTTTTAGCATCCAGTGATTCGTTTGAATTGATTAGAACATTCATTGTGATATATTTGCAAGTCAGGTAAGAGGTACATATTTCCAATGAACAACAAGACGGTCAAAAATGGTCAAAGCCATCGCTTAACTGAACCATCTCGTCAGTAACCTGATCTATGCTGGATTGTTGACAAAACACTCAAAATCTGGGATATCCCAGCGCGGCGGTCTCTCCCACTGGTAATCGCGGGGCCGACAAAACTGTAAGCCGATAGCCAGATTCGAAACCACTACCTTCCACACGTGGCCGTGCACAAACGCTCAACCAACTGTGCGTTAGTGGAGCCAACCAGCGCCAACTGACCCCGCGATTCCCTCCAACTGTCCGATGTTTAACTCTGCTTCTACTTTGTCCCATGTCCAGCACCGACCGGGCCTCAGCGTGCGTTGCTAAACTCCCAACGCCCAGCTCACGGAGTGCCATGCTCCACTGTAAGGCTTGTACTGACATCGGTTTAACCCTCCGTTGTGCTATCGGCAGTGTTCGGGTTCGGCACGTTGGTGTTCAACGGTCTGGAGATTGCCATGCGCTCCACCACGGACACCACCTGCAGCGGCGAGCTGTCGTTCGCCCACCCCATCCTGCAGGCCATCTTCACCTTCCTGCAGATGCATTTCCTCTTCGTCAACTCAGAGGTGAGGGTTGTTAGCGCTTGGCGTCTTTTGATGATCTGGAAAGCAAGCTATTGCGATCAGAAACCCGCACGATGTGAGCGTTAGGTTCTGTTAATTACGCGTGATTGTGTTGGCCCGGGATCCACATGATGGCGTTTGAATTTTTCGTTCTTCGACTTTTTGCGTTGAATTTTGAACATTGCCGAGCTGCTGTCAGCTATTAACCCTGTCCTATCCTCTCTCCTCATTCCTCCATCCCTCTTCATCACGCCGCACATGCGATGACACAAAAGTTAAGTCAGAGCTGCACTCAACTTTGACTCTGATACCGTCTGGGTCTGACCGTGACTTAAGCTCGTGCAGAACCCCCCCCCCCCCTGATCCTGCCACCACCCGACCCAAACTGGCAGTTGGTGACGCGTCGGCTCGGCCGGCCCTGTCCTGTCTCCTGAGCTCGACACCGTCTGACCCCGGCGTCGTCTGACCCCTACGCTGCCTGACCTTATACCGCCTCTCCCAACACCGCCTGACCCCGACACCGTCTGACCCTGACACTGCCTGACCCCGCCCGGCAGGTGGTCGTGGAGAAGTTCGGCCAGATGGCGCGGTTCGGCTTCATGCACCTGGTGGCCACCAACCTTTCGGTGTGGTTCCGCATGGTGATCTGGGACTCGGCGCACGAGTGGGTGCACTTCGTGCACCTGCACGCCCAGCCGGACCGGCCGCTGCAGTACGGCGGCACGCCCAGCCCCAGCGCCCTCCGGCTCCAGGGTGAGGCACGGCGGCGGCGGGCGCGGCCGGACGCGCGGCGAGGGCGCGAGAGGGGGTCTATCAGTGTCGGCCCCCAGCGCACACTTGACCGACAGGCAACAGCCGAAGCGTCTATGTAGCTGCGGTATGGCAAGTGCCTCACATGGCCGCTGCTCCGGAGAGTTTGTTTGGGCGAACGTGTCACCACGGAGAGGCTCGTGAAATCAGCCTTCGCGTAGTGTTTGGCGTCGGCTGACACTGCGCGCCCGCTGGAGCGTTTCCCTTTGCGTGACCCTACCCGGATCCAATTCACACCGCTGACGGTCTGACTGCGGTCGCGTGCAGGCTTCCCGGGCCTGAAGGACCTGGGCTACGAGGGCTACCTGGACGTGGACGGCACGACCGAGCCCACTATCGACCGGACGTTAGACCTGCGCGACTCGGGCGTCCTCTACTATGGGAATCCGTACGGCGGAGGTGAGCCGTCCGGCGCGAGCGCGGGCGCATTCCTCGTCGCGTCACACTCGTGTTATGGCGTGTGTCGCATTGTCGTACCTCTTGCAGGAGGTACGATGCTCTAATAGGCTACAAGTAAGCAAAAAACAAAAACCACAAAAAACCGATGTGTGGTGAAATGCGCGCACTGTCAAGCTCAGACAAGGTGCGAAACAAAACCACGGGGTCGGAGTGATTTTGTAAAGCCCCTGCTGGTGGTCCACGTGATCGTTTTCATCCGCGCAGGTTGACAACCTATGTGCTAATCTTGTGCGACGAATGCCCTTGCCGCCATGCGCAGGTGGGCACCGGTTAAAATACACATCGTTTGCAGGGTCCGAACAGCTGCCGGCGCCGTGTGTCAACGGCTCTGCATTCTCCTTCACCACGGCACATGCGCAAAGGGTGATGCGGCTCTATCAGTGTTACAATAATAACACCCTCGGTCAAATGTGGACCAAGTCCATGCCATACCTGTTTCCATTCATCGTGGAGTACAGGTAAGCCGGGTCGGAAGTTCTTGTTCACCCTGCATATGCTGCGTAGTCCAGATTCAAATGACATACACGGGTAGCATCCATCGAAGAAAGCACTCAGAAAGTCCACGAGTTTATCGGACTTGTCTATTCGCATATTCTAGCCGGATTAGCGGGACAAAGCGTCAACCACTGTAACGTCGAGGACGCGTTGTGACCAGTGTTGCTCGTCCGGACCTCACAGACGCGGCCATATGCTCTGGGGCGCTCAGTCGCGGCCACACGCCCTGAGGCGCCCAGCCGCGGCCAGCTCTTAACGACCCCCTATCACCGGCAGTCTGATCGCCGCCGCCGTCACGTACATCATGTGGACGTCCGTGGGCCGGGAGCGCAGCAAGCAGTCGGAGACCAAGAAGCTGGACGAGGGCAGCACACTGGACGCGCGCCGGCGGAAGCAGTGGCGCACTGACTGCCGCGCCGCCTCCAAGGGCCTCTTCCTCGGCCTGCTCTGCCTGGTCGGCGGCATCGTCGTCCTCATCATCTTCTTCGTGATGAAGGACAGCGAGGAGTTCCAGGACCAGATGTTCTGGCTGTCGTCCGGCACGCAGCTGGTCGTGCTCAGCCTGTCCGTGGTCATGACGCTCGTCGGCTTCTATCAAGTGCCGAAGCTGGCGGCGGCGCAGAAGAAGAAGCCCCTGCACCTCGACTCGATGCTCTCCTCCGTCACCATCATCGGCGTGTACCTGCTCGGCATCTTCGGTCTCATCGTGGGCGGCATTCAGCTGGGCGAGCCGCGCCACCTGGTGCTGTTCGTGCTGAACGTGACGCTGATCGTGCAGACCACGTGCCAGGGCATGCTGGTGTCGGAGGCGGTGCGGCGGCAGTGCGCCACGCGCCAGCAGCAGCAGGCCAAGCCGGGGCGCCAGGTCATCACCTTCCTGCTCTTCTCCAACGCCACGCTCTGGATGATGGACACGTTTATGTCGCACCACTGGCTCTCGCAGGAGATGCAGTTCAACTACTACGGCTTCCTGGCCTGGGGCGTCATCTCCAGGATCAGCCTCCCGCTCACCATCTTCTACCGCTTCCACCAGTCCGTCATCCTCGTCGAGATCTGGAAGAACACGTACAAGACGCGCACCGACTAGCGGGGGGGACGCAACCCTGACTCTGACACGAACTCCAGCGGCGGCAGCAGCAGCAGCGCCAGCAGCTGCAGCTGCAGTCAGACGTCCGAGTGCTCGCGGTGCTCGGCGTGTCTCGCGGCGCGCCTTCCGCCGCTCGGCCGCGCCGGCAGCCCGCCCTCCATGTCGACGGACAGCATCGACTCTGGCGCGGCGCGCGAGCTGGGCCACCGGCGCGGTCTGTTCGGCCGGCGCGCGCTGACGCCGCCGCCGGCGCCGCGGCCGCGCCGCTGGCCCTCTCATCGCAGCCGCTCGCACTCGGCCGAGCGGCCGCTGGTGGCCGGCGCCGAGCCGCGCGCCGGCCGCTGGCTGCGCGCGCTGGCGCCGGCTGTGTCGCCCGGCCGGCCGCGCCGCCGCCGGGCCGCCCACCGCGACTACTCCGACCTCACCGACCAAGACGACGACGACGAGCCGGCGCCGCGGCGCGCCTCCGACCGGCTGTTCGCAGCCAACGTCATCCTGGCGCCGCACCCCGGCTGGCGGGCGGACCTCGGCGCCGAGCTGAAGCGCCTGACGCGGCCGGAAGTGTCGCACTTCCTGCCCAACCGGCAGCTCGACGCAGACCTCCTGCCCGGCGACCCCGTGGTGCTGGGCTGGTTGCAAGTCCAGTCTCCCCCCTCCGCCCCCACGACGGCCTTCAAACAGATGCCCTTCCACCGCAACCTGCACCACATGATGCGGCTGTAGCCGCACCACGAGCTCAGCACGCGGCGCGCGCTCTGCCGCTCCAGAGCGGCGGCTGCTAGCCAGGCAGCGCGCGAGAGGCCCGGGCTGGTCAGCGGCGCGCCATGGCACGTGCACCCTTCGCAGCACCTACCCGCCGCACATGTAACTGGTGACTTCAACAGGCGAGCTCACGCGTCTGGGAAGGCAACCTCATTGACTTGTAGTTGCGCAGTGTGTATAGGACAATGGGACGTTACGCGTATTGGAAGAGCGAGTCAACGTGGGGCGACCTCAGTGCGCAATATCGCTCCACAGTGGCCTACGTAATGCCTGCTCTGGACCGGAAACAATGAACTATGACGCCGTGAAGGTATTGACGATGGCTGGGAAGTTAGATCATCTGAAGTCTGGATCAGGATGCCCAAATCGGTCATCACCGAGCTGAACGCCTTGGTCTGTATGGACGTAGAGATGGAACCAACTCCACTGCATTTTGTTGCTGATCTTATTGATCGCAAATGTGTTGCTCTTGGCGGACAATGGTTAAGGCCCGACGCGCCAGGGCTAATCGCGATACCGTTGTTTACACAGCGTTCAATTTATGCTTCACGAAATCAACAGCGAGCCAGACGCACGCACAACCCGAGCATTCTAGCGGGATTTTACCTGACGTAGAATGGAGCTGCTGCCAACGCATTATATCAAATGTTGTGTGTGGCGTATTTCAGTGCTGGGCTATCAGGAAATGTGTTCTGTACATTGTGACAATAGTGACGAATCCGCGTTGTTTCTGGAGGAAGCGCAGCTTTATTTAACACGTGATGATTCGAGTCTGCATGCTAGGCGTTGTGCTGGGATATGGAATGCGATGCAAGCAGAGCTATCGAATTAATATTCTTTGTTGTGGTGTTGCTTGGGTCAGTATGAGTGCGCTGATAGCCCGAATCACAGATTCGAAAGGGCTCATGGCGTGCTAGAACGGCACTGTCTTCCATTTATTCGACCGACAGCAGCGCATTGTAATTTATGTTAAGCTAAGGTATGTGGTTATGATACCTTTCAAATACGTTCGCTATGTTGGTGTGCTCGTGCTGATGTATGCTAAGCTGTTTTACGATGACCCCGGCGCTTGGGGTGTTTAGTAGGAGCTGGTTTATCGTCCAACAGATGGCAGTGTGCTCCATTATACACCGACAAACGTTTCTAAAATAAAAGTTAGTTCAGAGCGCATGTCTCCAAAGCATCCCATCCGTAACCAAAATACACTTAGCCAGGTGGATTGTCTATTTGTTCACCCGGGCCATCCTCAAACACATAAACGCAACCAAAGCGGAACGCAACACAGGAGGCCAGCGACGCCGCGTGATAGCGATGGCGCTGCCGAGGCAGATGGCGGACTCAGCTGGGCGTCAGGGGTCCCCTCCAGACGCCTAGCACTACCCAGATACGCACGCGAGGCTCCAAGCCGACACACCAGCCAGCGGACGGCCGGCGGCCGGGGCCCGGTGGTCCGCAGACGGGGTCGCGGGACCCCGGCCGGGCCTCCGAGAAAGCAGTCCACGCCCACCGCAAACATACACATGGCCGCGGTCGTGACGAGAGAGCGGCCAGCCCCGGCCGACCCGGCCGGCGCCCAGCGCGGCTCCACACGCAGCAGACTGCCGTGGGGGGGGGGGGGGGGGGGCGTGCGGCATCGAACTTGAGACAGCAGAACAGACCGCGCGACGGGCACTCAGAGGTCACCCAGAGCACAGTCTGGCGCCCGCTGCTGCGCCGTCGTCGGCGAGGCAGCGCCGCGGCGCACCGGAGGAGCGCAGCGCCGGCCGCGGCGGACAGCGCGCCCGCCCGGCCGCCGCGGCAGCTGCCGTCCGTCACCGGCCGCTGGACCAGGCGGGACGCGGCCCGCCCGGTCCGGCGGCCGGCGGCGTCACCCCGCGGCGGTGCGCGGCCCGCGTTTGAGCGGAGCGGGCCGCCGGGCCACGGCGGCTGCCGGCTCGCGAGCTCTCCTCTGGCCGGCTAGTCGACGTCCATGTCCGGAGCGCCGGCCGGTCCTCCCGGGCCGCCACCCATGCCGCCCGGGCCGCCTCCCATGCCGCCCGGGAAGCCTCCCATGCCGCCCGGGAAGCCGCCGGGGAAGCCAGGCATGCCGCCCCCGCCGCCGCCGGCTCCGCCACCCAGCTTCTGGGTCATCTTGGTGATCAGCGCCATGACCTTGGGGTTGTCCTGGTACTTCATGATGTTGCCCGGGTTCTTGGAGACGTCGGCGAACGCGGTCATTACCTCCGGATCCTGAAAGTGACGGCGCAGGGTAAGGCCTGGCCTGGCGGCGCGCCGTCCGATCTAACTCGCAAGCAACATGGCAGGGGAACATTGAAAAACACACGGTCTAAAGCATGGACCAGTGGCGCCAGTGCGGGCCCGCTTATGCCTGCCGGTGATGAAAATCGCTCCACATTGGAAAATCAGATGGTCAAAGGTCACGCCGTCGTCGGTGACACGGTAATGACAGGCGACTTGGTTGGCGGCCGTAACCGGACACATGAGCGCGGTGGGGAGCGGAGTCACAGCGAGGGCTGAGGGCTCGTCACAGCGACCCAGGGTCCGCCGAGCCGGGACCTCGACACCCACCTGCATCGCAGCCATGATGTCCGGGTCGCTCAGCAGGTCTGCCATGCCTCCGGGCATGCCTCCGGGCATGCCTCCGGGCATACCCCCTGGCATACCCCCGGGCATACCCCCAGGCATGCCTCCGGGCATGCCGCCGGGCATGCCACCGCCGGCGGCGGCGGCGGCATCAGCGGCGGCGGCGGCGCGGGCGCGGGCCTTCTCCTGCTCCTGGCGGGCGCGGCGGATGCGCTCCTGCTTCTGGCGCAGCTCGCGCTCCTCGCGGCGACGCTCGTACTTGCGGTTGTGCTCCTCGATCTTGTGCGCCTGTCGGGAGAGCGGCGCGGGTCAGGCGGGCGTGACACCAGGCTGCTGGGGCGCGGAGGACGACCGCCACAACCGCGGCCAGGTTAGGCCAGGGCGGGCAATCGTCCCACCAGACAGAAGGGCAGGTCGTTACACAGTGGATTGAGAACAGCCGACGAAGTCAACGACGGACGAGGTGGATCCTTGTTGTTTATTGGTGTTTCAGGGCGTGCCGACTCTAACTGTCATTTGGCGATGTTTTTAACCCATAACGATGTTTTTACTAAGGGAGGTGTGAGCATGACCTGGAAGTCGATATTTCTTAGAAACAAGAAGAGCTGCTTAGATTCAATGAGATGTCTCCAACCGCATCGCTAATCGTCCGGGACGAAGCCTGCTACCCAAAGTGACGCCGATGTTCTTCGACAAGGCGCGGACACGACACAATCACGTGGTGGACAGTGAGAACGACACCACATCGATGGCAGAGCGGCCTGTCGGCTCCACATAACAGCAATGAGTGACGTAAGCGCGCCTGATGCGCAGTCGACATAGTGCTACTTCCCGTCGCACACTGCGAGAGCAAGACGAACGCAAGCCCAGCTGGGTTTTATCACTCAGAGCTCATTGCCGCCCGTTATCGCCGTCCGGACCGACAGGCATCGGTCGGTACCAGCATGGGTACCCGTTTTCAATACGTTAAACACAGGTTAACATTCCTGGCATGGACAAAGTCCCGAGAACTCAGGCACCAACCAGGTACCGCCAGCACTGATTTGGTACCGGTGCTATATTTCGGCCATTTGCCGTTTCCAGCATAGATGTCGCCGGACCCACATACAGGGAGGGCGAACAAAAGAGCTCCGTTTCACCATCAGCTGTACCGGATGGTTAATGGTGGTGGAGTCAGGTCCCAAGGAACAATTACTCTTAACGTGGACGCTGATCTACAATGTCATACAATTAAAAGGATTTGACTAAATCATCTCCATCTATCTTGCCGTCTCCAGTTTGAGGTCAGTTCCATACAAGGCCATCCAATGCTGTACAATGATATGTAAAAATGTGAAGCTGGTGCCTTGTGTAACCGGCCCAATCTGTCCGTACATCCCATATCAGTTCCCCCCTCCCCCACGCATTCTCTCCCCAACACAGTCCACGCTGTCCTACTCGCCAGCCGACGCCGCATCGCAGGGTCACCCCGAGGCGGAGAGCACCGCCCCAGGCCCGGGGCGTGGACTGGGACGGCTCCTGGCGTCGGTCGCATCGGCTGGCCGACACCGTCCAGGCGCCGGCCAGCGCCGGGTCCGCTTGGCACCAGCTCCCCAGCACCTCAGCCCCCCGCCACCGCCGGGGGACATCGGTCGCGGCGGGCCCGACGTCTCCGCTGACCCGGCCGACGCGGGGGCGGGGCTGGGGGCGGGGGGGGGGGGGGGGGGAGCCGAGCCCATCGCCCGGCCACGGCCGCGCCTGACGCAAGCGGCGGCCACGCGCCGGCGGCGCTCGGAACGGTGCCACCGGCGCCCCCGCCGTCCGCCGCGGTCGCCGACAGGTGGCGCGGGCGGCGCCAGCGGCTGCTGGCAGCCCCGCCTATC